CGGGCCGCGCAACAGCCTGATGCCAAGGCCGGGTCGTGGCTGCGCTGGCCACGGACGGGCTGGCCCAGGGCCACCGTCGCGGTTCCGGGCGGCCGCTCTGAGGCTCCTTCAAGGACCTTCCTACGCCGCCGCCGAGCAGCACGGATTTGAGAGGAGCAGGAAAGGAGAGCGGCGAGCCCGCCTGACTTTGGACACTGGCTCTTCCCTCTGACTCAGGGCACAGAAGGATTTCGGACGGTTTCCTTGTGGGTGGCCAAGAGCAGAGGCATAAAAGGATGCGAAACAGCGAGTTCTGCTTGAGCACAGCTTTGAAGAAGCCTGTCATGCAATCTAGGAACAGTCTAGACTGTTCTCAGTTCAGTCTACGCTGAACTTCTCATATTCAGGGGCTGCCCTTTGTCTTGGAGAGGTTAAGATACTGAAAAACCAGCAACCTGCAGAAACTCTCACGAGTCAGCAGACGTTCCCTAGCCCTCACCACACAATGGGATTGCCATTCTGCCAAGAGGGAATGGATTTAAACTTGCCAAAACGAAGCTTTTGGCTTTCCCTCTCCTCCCCAAGGGTGGCAGGAAGCCCGATTTCTGCTCTTTCACCCGATGAGGGTAAGGAGGACGCGTCCCCAGCTTTGTCACGGGGGAGTTTTGCAGCAGGAAGAGGTCGTGGGGCTTCTCGCCAGCCAGCAGCGGGGACAGGCTCTGCTGCCACATCCCGGCTTGGCCCAGGACAGAGGGACCGCGCTCAGGGGAGCCTTTGTCCAGGGGCTGTTGTGGGGCCGTGCTGGCAGGTGGGACCCTTGGTCTGCTCAGCAGACCTGAAGGGTTAAACTGGTTATCAAAACCCAAACAAGTTGCAGGCCTTAAACAAACAAACCCACTAGAAACTCCACAGCTTTTAAATGAACTGGACAAAATAAAAAATAAACCAACTTTTAATTTTTCTGTTTAAAGAAGGGAGGGGGGGAAAGTTAGAGAGAAATTAAAGTGAGAGGAATTCAGACTGGTTTTATACATTTGTTTTTTTGCCTCATCTCCGAGTTGAAGCAGCAGTGAAACCTTTTGGTGGGGACAGAGCTGCTTCCGTGCCAGGCTTGACAGCAGCTCCTCACCCAGTTTGTCCTGGCAGCGGCCGACGGCGCATTCCCCACACATCCCCTTGCCGACACGGCACTGTCGGTTTCAGCTCTGCCTGCGGCCCGTGACCCGTCCCCGTGGGGTGTTCTGCAGCAGCAACCCCCTGCCTGCATGGCCCCGGGTGTTCTCTGTGCCCAGCAGCTCTGCCCTGGGGACGGGGACAGCAAACGTGACAAGCTGGGGGGCTCCCCGCTGGCAGTGCCTTGTGACAAATCCTCACCCAAAAAGCGCTGCCCAGACGCCTCGTCGGGGCCCTGCCGAGAGGTGATGGGGCACGGGCGCAGGGACGCGGGCGCTGGCTGCGGGACACCCACGAGAGAAGAGTCTGGGCACGGGCTCCAGCTCAGAGCACCGTCAGGACTTTTTCTACCAGCCAAGTAAAACACCAAGAATTGCTGAGGGGCCGCTCGGAGAGGCAGGCAGGAAGAAGATTGTGGGGAGAAAAGAGGCATTTAGGGTGAGCGTGTGAGCGGGCGTGTGAAAAAAACCACAACGGTGACCATGGGCACTGGGAGCAAGGGTATTTTATTGGGCTGAATCCGGCCACGTGCTGGACACATTCTCTTTCCAGAGCTATGGAGAGCACGCAGAGATGTGAGCGTATGGAAGCGCTGATCAGTGGAAAGAAAAGAAGCTGCATTCGCCACAAAGGGGTGCCGGGAGTTGGCTCCAGGAGCTGCGTCGGGCAGAAGGAGCCGGTCCCAGCTCACGGTCATCCCAGACCTGAAAGTAGAAAGAGCCACCGTCAGGGGTGTGGGTCGCCGCTGTTTGTTGGCAACTACTTGATTAACACAACAGCGTGAGGAACAGCCTGGGGAGACTTTTACCTGGTGCTTTCACATGTGCATTCCCGCCTGGCTCTCTACTGTACGTACAGCCCACGTGTGTGTCCATGTGCACGCACACGCTGGGTGCCTGTGCACACACACGTCATGTGTAACGTCCCTCGGTCCACCCATCCCTGCCAAACACCATCTCCCCCAGGTAGTAAGCTCTACTTGGTGCATCCACCGAGGGCCGCCGACCCTGCCAACTCCATCACGCGGCCATGCCAGCCCTTGTGTGTTGACTCCAGCTGCTGAGGCGGTTCCAAGCCCCTGACTGTGCAGTGCACCCGGGGGCAGGACTGTGCACACCCTCGCCACCAACGCGCCCGCGTCTGTTTGCACAGCGAGCTGCCTCTTGGCTTTGGACAAAGGGGAATATCGTTTGAAAACAGCTCTACGTGCTGCAACAGGTCGTGGAGGGGACGCTGATGGGTGCGAGCACCGAGCCCCGGGCGGGCCTGCCCTCCGCTCTGTGCTGCACGGGAGCCCCCCACGTTCTCTCCTTGCGC